CTCTCTCTCTCTCTCTTTCTCTCTCTTTCTCTCTCTCTTTTTCTCTCTCTCTCTTCCCCCCTCCCCCAGAGGCTACATCTATTACATTTATTATTTATCTACTTTTTGCAAAGAGATACTAAAATGTAACTGGGTTTGCTTAGGAGATGGACATTTCCTTATAAACTATCAAGGCTTCTCTACTTAGACAGACTGTATTTGTCAGAACTTGTTTTTTATCTTGCTCAACATTCAGGAGGAATTTGTTCAAACATGAAATCCTTTATACTTCACCGTGGATTATACCTGGGAAAGTGCTTTATGGGCCACAGATTAAAGTGGGGGAAAAGCTTGGAAAAGATGCACAAAAGCATCTGGGAGGACTATGCCAGGATCCTAAACCACAGCACCATGTTCCCGAAACACCGTCCACCACAGAACAGCCAGCAGAATAGCTGCAGCGGGTCCTGTGCCCAGCAGCCTGGGTTCAGTCCTGTCTTCAGGAGACAAGCTGTGGACCTGGGATGACTGGACTCTTCTTTGTGCTGCTATTTTCTCATCCAAAAAAAAAAAACAGGAATAAAAACAGAATGTACCTCATGGGGCTGTTAGGTGGATGAACTGAGATGATTAATACAGGTGAAGCAGCAGCTCAGTGCTGGGGCACCGCAAGCCCTCTAGGAATGCTAGCTGTTACAGTGGGATGGAAAAGTGCGCCACTGGTATATTTACAAAGGTTAAAGAACAGAATATATTTTCTTTTAAATATAATCAGCTTCTGATGTCTCTGTGACTCAAAATAATCCTTAGGTTGTTTCAAAACTGAAACAGGAGAAAAAGTCCTTAATTTTCTTTTCTTCTACTCTGAAAACCACAAGCCATAATTATAGTAGCACCAAAGAATGCTTACAAAATTTGAAAATGGGGTTATTGAAGAAAGAGAATGTAAATTATTTACTGTGAAAGGAAGTTTAAGAACAGGTTTTGCATTTATGCCAATTCTACATGTTCAATAAATGCTTTTTGACAAATGAGACTACCAGGTACTTTTGGGAAGGTGAGAAGCATTACCATCTAATAGAAAGGCTCAGTAGGAAAGAGGAGAGAAATAGCTATACACTGAGTGGCCAGATTATTTTGACCACCTGACGTTTGTAGGCAAATTAGCTATAATTTCGCGCTGAAGTTGCTAGAGGGCCAGACCATTATAAATAGGGAAGCAGGTTGTTTACCACGACAGTAGAAGTGATTTTTTTCCTGAAGATATGGGTAAACAACGTGATTTAACAGCCTTTGAATGTAGGATATATAATATTATGAGTGGCCAGATTATTATGACCACCTGATGTTTGTAGGCAAATTAGCCATACACCGCATTGTATGGGATATGGAAGCCGAAGGCCTGTCTGAACACCTTTGCGGTCTGCAGTTACCAAGATAAAATGTCTCCAATTCGCACAGGAACACAAGGATTGGACAGTCGAGCACTGGAAAAAAGTCATGTGGTCCGATGAATCACATTTCCAGTTGCATCATGCAGATGGCAGAGTGAGAATTTGGAGGAAACAGCATGAAAGCATGCCCCCCACATACATGAGTACAACCCATCAAGCTGGTGGGGGCCATGTTATGGTTTGGGGCATGTTTTTCTGGCATGATTTGGGCCCTTTAATTCATGTGGAACAACATCTGAATAGCACAACATACCTAAGTATCGTTGCTGATCAGGTTCATCCTAACATGTTGATGGCATATCCCAATGGAGATGGCTTCTTCCAACAAGACAATGCGCCATGCCATGGTGCTCGTATTGTGCAGGAGTGGTTTCAAGAATATGAGGGAGACTTTACCTTGCTTAGGTGGCCCCCACAATCACCAGATCTCAATCCAATTGAGCATTTGTGGGATGAAGTTAAAAGAGCCATCAGGCAGCTGGTTCCACAACCATTAAATCTCACAGACTGGACAGTGCTATTCATCAGGCATGGTGTCAGTTTCCTCGCATCACCTTTCAACATCTCGTGGAGTCAATGCCAAGAATTGCTGCATATTGAAGGCAAATAGTGGCCCAAGGAAGTACTGATGGGGTGGTCATAATAATCTGGCCACTCAGCAAAAAAAAAAAAAAAATATATATATATATATATATATATATAATCTCCCATGTTCAAAGGCTGTTAAATCACATTGTTTACCCATATCTTCAGAAAAAAAAATCACTTCTGTCGTGGTAAACAACCTGCTTCCCTATTTATAATGGTCTGGCCCTCTAGCAACTTCAGCCCGAAATTATAACTAATTTGCCTACAAACGTCAGGTGGTCATAATAATTTGGCCACTCAGTGTATAGTGAGGCGCTGGGTTTACAAAATCTTGCAGAATTTTTGGAGAACACCAGCAAGGACACTCACAGTGACTCCCCTTCCCCCCCCCCCCCCCCCCCCCCGCCACACACACACACACACACACACTGCACATTGGAGGCACTTTAAAGAATTCTAATTCCCAGCACCACCCAGATCAATTCAATCAGGATCTTGGGGGCTGGAGCCCAGGTATCTATATTTTAGAATCCCACAGGATTCAATATGCAGCCAGTATTGAGAGGCAACGCTAGACCAATACTTCTCAAACTTGAAAGTCATAATGACCTTGTGGGGTGTTCCAGTGGAGGAGACTAAGAGAAAGAGTTTTGTTTCAGGGAAGTTTTGAATGAAGAATATTTATGTGAAGAACAGAAGAGGCTGGAAAATTCAGGGAAGAGACAGAAGACATGGACAGGAGCACCAGGGTTTTTAAAAGGAGTCTGAGGGTGTTGGTGAAGATTTGGAGGTTTCAGAGGAAAGAGACTCTTCTTGTTGAAGGTTAGAGAACCTCACTGCTGGGTTGGCGTTTCATTAGGGACTCCCTACTGGTCCATTCCACTCACTGGGCTTAGGAGGTAAACCAAGTGCACAAGTTCAACACTAGAATTTCTCTAAAAGGCTTACGCACATGACATTTGCATCTTCTGACTTTCAAACCACATGCTATTTGCATCTGATTTATAAATGCTGAGGCCAACTTTGTCAAGTGTCAGTATCTAGGGATGTTAGATCATGAATCTAAGCATTTTCTCCTCATTTCTGACTCTATGAAGTTCACATTATCAGTCAATGGTGGCAAACCAATATAAAGAGTGTTTAATTCATCCCTATATTGTCAGGGTTGGCAACAAATGGATAGACTCCCTGGTTATTAGAAACTTAATCTTCATCGCTCACCTGTCTGATACCAGCCTTGTTAGCCTGGCCAGCACATCACCAGGATTGCAGAATCTTTGACTGCTTGTGAAAACACAGAGGTGCTGAATGTTCAAACAGCAGGACAAACCTGTCCTCCCTCAGCACGCCAACAGGCTCAGAAGTGCCTTTGACAATCATTCCCCAAGCTTGAGACAACTACATTTTTAAAAATGGGTTGTGTTCTTTTTTTAGTTACTAAAAAGTAATACCTGTAATTGGAAAAAAAAAAAAAGTAGAAAACGTAGAACAAAATAAAATAAAACCACCACAATCGCACTATCTAAAGATTGGCCTTGGGACATGTTGATAAATGTCTTCCTAGTCCTGTTTATTGCAAACATGGGTCTGGGCAGCACAGACAGCTCTGCTGTCTGACTTGCTAACTTAGTATTTTTGTTAAATAATCTTAAAAGGAGAAATTATTTTTCTTTTTTAGTTTACTCAAATCCATCCAGGAAAATAGCTCTTTTGTGTTAGGGCTTCACATTGTAACACCGTCTGTGTTCACCTGCGGGGCACAGCATTTTGTAAGAGAAGTATCTTGCTATGCGGAGGCTTGTGCTGAGATTGCTGTTAGACTCAGAAATGAGCGATTCTGTGGGACAGGAATTAGGTATGGTGGGTGGAATTTGCTTATTCCCACTCTCAGAATATCCTTGGGACCAAGGATATCTCAGGCCTAGGACGGTAGCCTTCACTACCTAAGAGGGCCACCACCTGTGCGTTTGTAAAACAATCCAAACGCTGTCATAATATTTGCTTAGCTGACTCTATACTCTACCCTCAGGACATTTTCCTATTAAATACTCATTATTTCTTATACTTGTCCTTTTCTTCTCACCTGTCCATTAACATTGATTCTCATTAGGCAATTCTATCAACGAGCATTTATTGAACACTGGCAGCACTGGAATTTTAAGAATGGCAATGACCATGGCACTGACAGCCTTCCCTGGAAGATGACTGAGATTAGAGAAGCATGGTTTGGGGAGTCCATTAGCGATGGTTCTCGTTTCCTGGGTACAGTCAAGTCACCTGGGAAGCTATTGTGCTGAGGCTGCACCCAGCACCAGGTGAATCAGCATCTCTGAGGATGGGACGCAGGCAGGTCACTTTTAAAGCTCCCCAAGCGATTCTGAAGTGTACCCAGGGTGGAGAACCCGTGCCACAGAGAAGTGCTTTTCATCTAATTGGCTGTGTATTAGAATCACCTGGAAGGTTTTAAAAAAAACAAAATACCTGAGCCCCACCCCAGAACAAATGAGTCAGAATATGGAAAAGGAGTCTGACAGCTGTATTTTTTTTCGAAGCTCCTTCAGATGATCTGATATACAGCAAGTGTCAAGAAGCATTGCTATAAGCAATGTAGTGAAGGAGAAAAATCTAGATTTGAACCTATTTCTGGCCCTTTGGCTTTGCAAGCCATGCATACCTGTAGGGTGATGGGCTATTTGCAGGAGGCCATCTGGGTAACGGGAACAGCAATGGGCTGAGAAGTTATGAAGGGACCTGAAGGCATGGTTCAAGTCTTGGTTTACTGTTGTAATGTTTGCCACGTGATGTAAGACATCACATTACCTCTGTGGGTTGGGAACCCCTGTCCACCTACCTACAATTTCCACCACACCTTGTATTCTCAGAATTTCTTTCTCTTTAATTGATGATTTACTGTGTTTTATTTGGTGATTAGTGATGATCAAATTGCATATTGTTCTTAATGCAAGGGCTGAAAATATAAAATGCTTTATAATTATAATTCTTTTCTAAACAGTTATTAGGTTGCTTTCCAGCTTAAAATGTGGAGACAAATTGCTCTTAAAGAGGCTATCAAAGGACTATGAAGGCAGTATGCTGAGTGAAGTAAGTCAGACAAAGACAAGTATTGTAAGCTGTTACTCATATGTGGACTTTAAAAAAGCTGAACTCATAGAAACAGAGAGTAGAATAGTGGTTGCTAGAGGCTGGGTGTTGGGGGATGTGGGGAGATGTTGGTCAAAGGGTACAAACTTCCAGTTATAAGATGAATGAGTTCTGGGGATCTAATGTACAGCATGGTGACTATAGTTAGCAATACTGTTTTATATATACTTGAAAGTTGCTAAAGGAGTAGGTCTTAAATATTCTCAACACACATACACACACACATACACACACACGGTAATTATGTGAGGGGGTTGGGAGCTGGTGAGAAAGGTGAAGGGATTAAGAAGTACAAATTGGCAGTTACAAAATAGTCACAGGGATGTAAAGTACAGCATAGGGAATATAGTCAATAATATTTTAATAACTATGTATGGTGCCAGGTGGGTACTAGAATTATTGGTACAATCACTTTGTAAATTATATAAGTGTGTAACCACTATGCTGTACACCTGAAACTAATATAAAATAATGTCAAATGTTAACTGTTAATTGAAATGTGAAAAAGGTAATTATGTGAGTGCTGGAGGTGTTAACTAACCCTGTGGGGTAGTCATTTTGCAATATATACGTGTATAAAATCACCATGTTGTACACCTCACACTTACACAATATGATATGTCAAGCCTGGGTCCTGGGTGCCAGAGGGAAGCCAGTGCCAGCAGCCGGGGGAAGGAAGGCCTACTCTTGCATGAATTTTGTGCATCAGGCCTCTAGTATCTCAATAAAGCAGGCAAAAACCAGAGACTCTCAAATATCAATAACTTGTAACATTGGACATCTGTGAGGTCTAAAATTTCATGCATTCATTATTTAATATCGTATACACTACATGATCAACAATTTCCATTCTTTCACAGCACATTAACTAAGTTAACAGGAGAAGGGGGCTGAGTCTCACGATGTGCCCACCATGAAGAAGGCAGCTGCAGAAGGCATCGAGGTTACTTTTGAAGATCAACAAAAGATAAACAGATTTGCATGGAATACAAGTAGAATCACAGAGCCGAAGGAAGAAATTGATGTAAAAAAGAAACAACTCCAAAATTTAGAAGATGGTCCTACCTGGTTTGGCTCAGTGGATAGAGCCTTGGCCTGTGGACTGAAGGGTCCTGGTTTGATTCCCTTCAAGGGCAAGTACCTCAGTTGCAGGCTCCATCCCTGGCCCTGGTCAGGGCACATGCAGGAGGCAACCAATCAATGTGTCTCTCTCACATCAATGTTTCTCTCTGTCTCTCCCCCTCCCTCCCACTCTCTACAAATCAATGGAAAAATATCCTCGGGTGAGAATTAACAAAAATAAAAACAAAATTTAGAAGGTGCTTGCAAGGACATCATGCTTGCAGATGACAACTGCTTAATGATACCTTATCAAATTGGTAATGTTTTCATTAGCTATTCTCAAGAATAAACATAAGAAATGTTAGAAGAAGCAATGAAAAATTTGCAAGAAGAAATTGATGCCTTAGAATCCAAATTGGAATGCATTCAGCAGATTTTAGCAGATTTGAAAGTTCAGTTATGTTCAAAATTTGGGAGCAACAAAAGCTTTAAAGCAGATGAAAGTTAAACATTTTATAATAATTTTTAAAATTTGTTTAATAAACTTAAATATTGTTTAAATGATCATTTCCTTTTTTAAATTGATATGGAAAGCAGAAATTTCTTTTTTAAAAATTATTTAATGGAAACTTGCCTATTTTCACAATTTGCTTATTTATTTTATATTTTTAAGAGAAGACAGTCAAACTACAGCAGGAAGGCCGGGGAGGGTGGGAGGGCAGGAGGGGGGTGGGTAAGAGATCAACCGAAGGACTTGTATGCATGCATATAAGCATAACCAATGGACATAAGACACTGGGGGGTAGGGGAGGCCAGGGGATTGTCAAGGGCAGGGGGAAAAAAAGGAGACATATGTAATATTCTTTGTAATACTTTAAGCAATAAAAAAAAAAGGAAAAAAAAAAAGAGAAGACAGTATTCATCTATGTATTTTGTGTAATGATTATATCAAATGAGGGGTTTTATGTCATGTTATTAAATCAATTAAGCAATCTTATGTTTCTATATTATCATTTAGAATATGCTGTAATTTTTATCAGAAAACTCAATACTTGTATCATAGTTTTTATATGTCTATTTCAGTTGCTATTTAGAAATGGTGAAAGGACTCTAGAAAGATCTAATTCTACATCTGTCTACTCATTTCACACCTAAGCCTTTGTTATATACTAAAAATATATACTTTTGTTTACATATATGCAATATCTATATATCTACATATATAAAAGGCTAAGTGACTGACTGTTCGTCCATCTGACCATCCAACCGACTGGCCAGCCAGTACATATGACGCACACTGGCAATTTAAAAATAAACATTGACTCGTGCATGCACGATATTTGTCCCATCTGACACTGGCCTCCCATTTAAATTAATTCCAAGTCAGTTTCCTGTAATGCCAACATTTACGATGACTCTTAATAAATCACAAGGACAAACTCTAGACAGAGTAGGAATATTCCTACCTGAACCCGTCTTTGGACACGATCAGTTATATGTTGCTTTCTCTCGAGTTCAAAGAGCATGTGACGTTAAAGTTAAAGCTGTAAATACTTCATCACAAGGGAAATTAGTCAAGCACTCTGAAAGTGTTTTTACTCTTAATGTGATATTACAGGGAGATATTAGAATAAATTTAATCAATTTATCAGTCATTGTTTTTATCAATGTTGTTTTTATATCATGTTTTTGTTGTTTTTATATCATGTCTTCGTTATTATTGTCTATTTATTAGTCAATTTATATATTATTTTCATACACATTTTACTAATTTTCTTTCATCTCTGACTTTTCTATTATAGAGAAAGGGCGAATAGCAATATTAAAATATTTCTTCTAATTAATTTCCTTTCAATGTGCACGAATCCATGCACCAGGCTACTAGTATATTAAAGCTGAACATATATATCTCACATATATATCTCTGAACATATATATCAGTGCCCAGCCTCCATCCAGGCACAAGCAGGAGGCAACAAATCGATGTGTCTCTCTCACATCAATGTTTCTCTCTCTCCCCCTTTCATCCTCCCTTCCACTCTCTCTGAAAAAGCAATGAAAAACATATCCTTGAGTGAGGATTAACAATAACAACAACAACAAAAGTCTTTACCTTAAATAAAGAGTTCATTTATCCTCATCCCCACCCCCCCCCCCAAAAAAAGCAAAAAAGTGGGTGTGGGGGGGGGGGCTACTGTGAACAAAGATGCCACAGAGAGCACCCAGCTCTGTCAGGGGAAGCCAAGACCAGGGAGCAGTTTCACAAGTAATTCTACTAAAAGACAGTAGGGGAATAAAGTTAAGTAATAGGAAATGTCTACAAGCTAAATGCATGATTATGACTTCAAATCGCCATTTGGCTAAGCTTCTTGTTACTGCTTTTAAAAACTGCCAACACACTCTCCCCCACCTGCCCCCCAGCCCATGATCAAAACCTCCCTTCATTTGTATTTCATTCATTTCTGGTTGTGCTGAAAAATAAACAACCAGCCCATGAGCTCACTTCTCAAAAAGTATTTGCACTTACAAAAAACTTTTTAAGGCATAGAATGGGTTTCTTACTTCTTAAAAGTGTGTTTCTAGCACTGTTAAAAGCTTGCGTTTACAAATAGCTGCTAAAACAATTCCTCTGGATTGTTCCAGAAGGGCGATAGTGAGACAGTCGATGAGACTTGGGTTATGATGTTGATCAGATCTGGCTTCTTTCTTTCCTTTTTCATCAGAGGCTGGCCTTTTCCTGGCTGCAGCTTCTCTCTTTTCTGCAGGTGAATCTTCTACACTTTCTTGGTTGGTCGTTTTTGCTCTTTCCTTTTGCTCCCCTTTCCCCATTTGTCTGTACTTTTTTTGCCTGATGATTTTTTTAAACATTAATTTCAACATTTGCAGGAGCAGTTTGGATGGCGTCTGGCCAGTCTCTCCTTGGGCTCCCTCCCCTCTCTCTCCTGGGCATCTTGGCAGAGGTTGTGGGGGGAGCACCTGGGTGTCTGCGGGGACAGCAGGGTGAGAGCCTTGGCAGAGCTGAGCCGGCTGGACATTGCTTCTCTGGCCACCCCTGAGCTTCTGGGCTCCTGTTTTCAAGCTTTGTAAAAGCACCAGAGCTCTTTTTCACTCTGAAATCTTGCACAGAGTCCGACATTTAATAGAAAAAGAGAGGAACTGGCCCTGTTGAAGTGGGAGTGCACTTTTGTGGAATGCCGATAAACGTGACTTGAAAATCCCGTGACTTCATCATGGAACGCTGCAAAGATTCTTACCTTTGACTATGAAAAGTGATAAAAATCCTTATTGTTTTTCCCCCCATGAGTAGGAATTCACTTCTGCTAATTCTGGAGACTGGAGAAAACAAGCTAAAGGGGTGGACGCTACCCGTGAAGGCTTTAGTTGCCGACAGCTCTGAGACCTGCCTCTAAAGTCAGGGAGCAGGGGCCCTGGGTGAGCACGGTGGAAGAGGGCAACAGTCAAATCGGAGGGCGAGCAGCGAATACGGGGCCTCTGTCCTCCTAGGTTGTGTACCTTCTTCACTCATGAGCTCGAGGTGGAGAGTGAGAGGAGCGTTTCCTTCTGCGAGTGACCCATGACCTTGGTTAATGACCACTAATCTCTATTCACTGTTTACCAGCAGGTTAGGAAGGCCTTTAATGATACCAGAGAAGAAAACAATTAGGAAAATACAGGCTGGTTGACCACATGACCTGTACAGGCCTAGACTTTTATCTGATCAATCGGTTTAGACTCTGTAGTCAGTGTAGCTCCATGCTTCCTTTAATTATGTGGACTAGTTTCTCATCTCCTGGGAAGCTCAAAACACTTGACTCATGAATAGGCACTCTTTCTCTTAATTGTTGGTATTATATCCATCAGTTACCTTCTGTAAAGAAAATACATATAGTTTTGAAATAGCTTGTTCTTTTATATAGATTGTACTGTCAGTGAAATAGCCTTGAAATTTCTATATAGGCATTTTCAGCAAACTTTTTGTTGAAGTATAATATACGTACATAAATATATATAATGTATATACTCATAAGAGTACAGTTGGATGAATTTTCACCCACATGTATGCACTGTATCTCCAAGTCAAGGTATAGAATATCACCAGTCAGTCCCCACAGAAGCTAACTACTACCCTACTTCTAACACCATGCATACTAATATTGTCTGGTTTTAAATGTTTCTATTTTAATAGCTGGCCAGGTAAAATATGCTCCAATAGACAAAGAGCTTCTTTGTTAATACCTTTGCATCAGCAATCATAATCCTAATGAATGCTATTTATTTTGCCTTTTCCCTGTGCCTTGTGAGTTGAACCAGCTTGCCATAGTGCTCAAAGGCTAAAATGTCCTTCCCAAGATGGGGTCAGTCTTTTGGTTTAATCATTTGTCCACTGAAGAAGGAAGATGTGCTGTGAATATCTCTTTAACAACTGGCGCATTTCATTGTTTGTTTATGGATCAATCTCAAGCCATATATGTTTGAATATTTTTATTTTATGCACTTATACGCTTGTATACATGTTATTTCCTGCCTTGACTTCTCTTTTTTTTTCCTTTTTCTGTCCTCAGTAGACAGCCTTCTCTACCCTATGTACCCCTACCATGCAAACTTTCCTCAACAATCCTGCTCTCCAGAATTCATCACCTCTGTGCACACTGCCTTGAAACGATTTTACTACTGATTATACAAAAGGCACATACAACCTCAGAGAATTCCTCTTTTATTTCTGCTTTGAATATAAAAAAAGACTATAAGAAATTTAGACCTGGAGGGGGAAATGAGTAATAAAACCAACTGTTAGACTATGTGGCTTTTTGTTGTTAGCCTGAGGTTCAGGCCTGAGTTTTTGTTGAGTGAGGGTGTCTATATTTCTTTTTTTTTTTTTTTTAAGGTTTGTGTAATTTTTGAGTGTCTATTTGAGCCAAGCTAACAATATATGCTGGGGAGCAAGATCTCAATTCTCTAAAGTGTCTGTGCTTATACAGTTGTTTGTGGAAGCCACAGGCGTCCCATTCATTAACTCATTTATTAATTCATTTTCTGATACCTATTATGTGCTAGGCATTGTGGTAGAAGCTGGACTTTCCAAGGAAGAGGTAAGGAGAAAGACTTGGAAGCCGAAATAGAGTATTTATAGATCTGACATCTAGAGTACAAGAAACACCTAATCTCCTAAAATATAATATTGTTGCTTTTAATTATGCCATGCACATAATAAAAGCTCTAAATGCATTTTGGGATGAAGATACTAGTATTGTGCATGTTTCTCTATTATAAATGAGTAAAACTCTGGATTGATTAAGTTTATAGGTATCCAGATCATTACTTCTCTTTTTTTAAAAAAACCTCAATGACTTTTATTTTGAAAAATATGATTGATTAAAATCACTCCAGCTTCATTGCCATTAACTCTATTTCATAATTCAATGATACTATTCAGTTACATTTTACTCAATGCCAAAGGTTTTTCAAATTGACCTTTTCCTTTGAATTACAATTGCAAGCTGATACAAG